AAACTATGGTCCTGCCACCAAAGAGTATAGCTGGGAAGAAGGGCTCTCTAAGGCCACACACAGATCCAGAGAAGGGACAGGCTCTGAAGGCTAGAACAGTCAAAAGGTCACCAAGCTTCTAATCAGCATCTCCTACTTAAATCAGCAACTCCAGGGGCTTCCCTGGTGGCGCAGTGGTTGAGAATCTGCCTGCCAATGCAGGGGACATGGGTTCGATTCCTGGGCTGGGAAGGTCCCACATGCTGCAGAGCAACTAAGCCCGTGAGCCACAACTACTGAGCCCTCATGCCACAACTACTGAAGCCCGCGCGCCTAGAGCCCATGCTACGCAACAAGAGAAGCCACTGCAGTGAGAGGCCCGCGCACTGCAGTGAGGAGTGGGCCCCGCTCACCGCATCTAGAGAGGGCCCACGTGCAGTGGCAAAGACCCAACGCAGCCAAAAATAAAAACAAAAAAAAAAACCCAGCAACTCCAGGCATCTTCAGGGTAGACAGAGGTGCCAAGTGTAATCTACTCAATTTCCTGATGGAGAGATAGAGTTTACAGGGAGTTTATCCCTTTTCCAAGATCACAGAGCAAATTACAGATGGCCAGGGATTGTGTCATATCTCCAGGAATGGCCAAATTTTTTTGCACAGAGCTACCAGTATGGCTAAAATTTAAAGGACTGACGGTATCAAGTGTTGCCAAAGATTGGAGCAACTAGGACTCTCACATCACTAGTGGGAAATGTAAATTGTTACAACCATGTTAGAAAATGTGTGGCAGCATCTACCCAAGCTAAACCTGCATGGTCTGTGTCCCGGCAATTCCCCTCCTGGACATACACCCAGAGGAAGCAAGTGCTTGGGTGTAGCAACATACGTGCACAAGAAGGTTCACAGCAGCTTTATCCACAATAGCCTGAGGCAGAAAACAACCCAAATGTCCAAGAGTTGAAATGAATTTTTAAATTATCTGATAGTCATACAATGGAACTTAACAGTAGTAAAAAACAGCAAACTATTTCTACAGGCAGAAAGATTTCACAGACATAATGTTGGACAAAAGAAGCCATACCCCAGAAAGTACATACTGTGGGATTCCATTTATATGAAGTTCAAAGACAGGCAAAGCGGATCTACAGCAAGAAGTTACTCTTTAGCTTGCTATTGATAGTGGGGTGGGTGGGCGAGCCTGCTGGGGAGTTAGAAATGCTCTGTAGTTGGATCTGAGTGGTATTTACAGAGGGATATACAAATAGAGATAGTTGTCGAGTTGTTTGCTTAGTATTTGCGTACATGACTGTATGTAATTTAAACCTCAGTAAAAAGGGGGGGGATATTTGCTCAGATATCTCCTGTCTGGTTTGGGTTCTCCTGAGGCAGATCCTGAGACCAGGTTTAGAGGCACATGGTTTATTATTTTGGAGGTCAAAGAGCACTTGTGAGATCATGGAAAATATGTATACTGGTCCCTGACCCCCATTCCTGGCTCAGAGCTCCTGAAACCCTTGTAATTTCCTGGGTGATAGGACTGTCGTTTGTTCTGACGGGTGATTCTGGGTGGGCTCCTGGATGGGGGCTGGTCACAGAAAGAACAAACCATGGTTAGAAGCTTGGGATTTTCAGCCCCTCCCCCCAGTCTCTTGAGAAGGGAGAAGGGCTGTAAATGGAGTTAGTGATCGATCATGCCCATGTGATGAAGCCTCCATAAAAATCCCCAAATCTCAAAAGCACAGGCTTCGGAGAGCTTCTGGGTTGGTGAACACGTGGAGGTTCTCGCAGAGCGCATGGAAACCCTCCACCCTTCCCACTTACCCTCCTCTCTTCAGCTGGCTGGTCATCTGTATCCTTTATCATACTCTTCAACAAACTGGTAAATGTAAGTAAGTGTTTCCCTGAGTTCTTTGAGCCACTCTAGCAAATTAATCAAACATGAGGAGGGGGGTTGTGGGAACTCTGATCTGTAGCCAAATCAGACAGAAGTTGTAGGTAACCTGGGGACCTACCCCTGGCAATTGGCCTCTGAAGTAACATGGGAGCAGTCTTGTGGGACTGAGCCCTCAGCCTGTGGAATGTGATGTTATCTCTGGGCAACCAGGAACAGGTGCAAATGTCCTGGCACTACTGACCAGAAGGCTGGTGGGGCCGGTGAGCCCTCAGGCAACTGAAAGTCAGCCAAAGCACAGAGAGGGACACAGATGGGGGACTGACGGCATCTATCACACACTCATATGATACAAGTCACGGTGATAGTGCCCATTGGTTAAGAGAATTTACCGTGACAAAAAAAATGATCTGTGAATTCCCGAAAGGTCTTGAAATAGATGTGCATTTAATTCCATCATCTGTACACATTTGAAAGCCAGAGGGGCTAATGTGTTTGTGAGAAGCATCATTCATGTCGATTCTCAGCGTCTCGTGGAGGGTCTCTGGCCCCCGGAAGTCAGTGTATCAACCACTAGTGCTCTTTCTGTTGTGAAATGAGCCAGCTGCCCCCCCCAGGCCAAAGCTGTTAGGGCCGGGGGTGGGGGGCATTTTGATGGCTTGATCACCTGAAGATCAAGTGACGTTTTGGTATTATCAAAGTCTGAATTAAATGGGTACCCAATACAATTAATGATAGATTGAGGAGGAGGAAAGGGGCCCATTATACATTCACTGTCATCCTCTTTGGTACAGAACTGCCGACCACAGGTCCCGACAGAGCCATCTCTGCAAAGACCGTGGCCATCAACCTTGCCACAAAAAGCCCAGCTGCCATCATGCAGGGCTTTTTGTGTGGCCACGTGGACTACCCCACGCTCCCTGCCACTGTGTTGTCTCTAAGGCACTGTGAAAACCCGAATCTTCAGCCTGTGGGATTTCCTCTGGCCTCCCTGGTCCTCAGACCCAGCCAACAACCTGCCTGCAGTCGGGACAGAGCTGCTCCGAGGGGCTGTGAAGCAGGCTTGTGCAGTGAGTATAGATCCCCACTGACACTGGCTTGGTTTGTGTTTGCAGATGGAGGGCAGGGCACAGATTTTCCTTTTACTGTAACGTCACTTAGCTCTCAAGCCCTCAGTTCTGTTGGTGGCAGGATATATTAATCTTGCCAAGTCAAGTTAAAGTCCAGGTAGTCGCCATTTAAAATGAAGTCACCTTGAAGTATCTCTTCAGATAATTCAGGTTCTCAGGTCAATTCCACACTTAAGTCTTAGGTGATTCCAGGAGCTTCTGCTCCCTGTCTGTCCACTCTGGTCATTCCTTTTCCTGGTGTTGATGACCCAGCAACAATTCCACCCCTGTCTGTCTGGGTCTGGTTTCCAATCCATCCAATCTGGTTTCCAATCCTGTGGCCTCTGTCTACAAGGCCGCCTCCCCTCGGGGACCTGGTGCCCGGCATTGTGCAAACCTCCTTCCCAGGCACCGAAATACTCACTCCTCACCCATTCCCCATTGGGCTACAGAGGGGGACTCCAGGGCTCCGTTCAGGGCTGGGGACACGGTCACCTTCTCTCTTGCCCGCCTCCACATCCTAGAGGCTTCAGTGTTTTGTCTTCACAAAGAGGCCATTTCTCATGTCTGGTTTTGTGGACCAAACATGAGACCCCAGGAGGGGTCCCACAGCTTGGCTGTATGCACGAGGGTTACCTACATGCATGACCTCGATCCATCCCTCATCCAGCAAAATTCAATTTGACAACCGCCTAAGGTCCGTTCTCCCTAATGAGTCTTTTCTTCCACTTGTCATGTCTAAAGAGAACAGCGTCCCTGGTGCCTGTTTTGTCTGTTAAAGAATCTTTTTCTCCTTCCCAACTCTGTATCCACGTGCTGTAAACCTAAAGGGAATTTCTCTTGACGATGTCTGATCAAACGCCGAAATAGGAGAGAGAGCTTGAACCCCCAGGGAGAGCAGGGTTGGATACGCATTTAGACAGGATGGGAGAGGATATCTATGCAGACAAAAGGATGAGAGGAAAACAGAAAAGGCCAAGCAGTCATGGTGACAAGCAGGGGAGCAGAAGAAACAATGAACCGAGTGGGAGGTTGATGGCAAACAGAATCACAGGCACTGGGGACCTAGGCAGGCTGTGTGTAAGCCTTTAGGTCACCCCCATTTCTGGAAGTCCATAAAGCAAGAGGACACTGGTGCTGGCCACCAGCCCAGAGCCTCCGTGATACCTGACTCAGTTTACATGGTCCCCTGATCGACCCATCCCCGCCAGCCTCCTGTCCGCCGTCCCAGCTGGAATGGCTCCAGAGTGGTCTCGTGCCGTTCCCACCATCACCAAGCTCCTCTTAGCCTCCCCCAGGGGTGAGACCCTATCACAGCCTCCATTGTGCCTCCCAAGGTAGGAATTGCCATAGCTCCGGCACCCAGGTCTGGCCTGACCCAACCCACGAAGGTTCTAGCAAGTGCTAGGAGATACAATCTAGAAGGATAGGGCAATCTTTGCCAGGAGAGAACAGCAGATAATTGCTTGCCCTTCCTGGCCCCTCCCACCCCCACCCCCACCCAGCCTGTTCCAAGTAGAGTGGTTACATACGGCCTCTCCTGAGGTGTCTCACAGGGCCACGCAGCCGTATCCCCTAAGAAACTGTGGCCATTTGTCTGTGTTTCCTTCCCTCTCTTTCTGCCTTACTCCCCTTTCTCCCTCACTCTGGCTTCCTTGGGATTGCACTACCACTCCCCACCCCAAAAAAGTATTAGTACACAAGCTTTGCTGCAGGCTCCGTTTTCTAGGGCTCCCAGACAAGCCTTGCCCCAGAAGATGGGCACCCCACAGCAGAGCAGTGAGGGGCTGCACACTGGGATGTAAACTACAATCTTATCCATTCCCTGGAATGGGTGTTTGAGGCATAGTCAGTTATATCCGTTTCCTAGGACTGCTGTAACAAATTACCACAAACTGGTTGGCTTAAAATAACCAAAATTTATTCTCTCACGGTTCTGGAGGCCACAAGTCTGAGATCAAGGTACTGGCAGGGCTGCACTCCCTCCCCAGGCTCTGGGGGAGAAGCCTTCCTTTCCTCTTCTAGCTTCTGGTAGCTGCTGGCACTTCTCTGCGCTCCTTGGCTTGTGGCTGCATCCCTCCATCTTTGCATCGCGTCTCCTCTGTGCATCTGCCTAATCTCCATCTGCATCCCTCCTGTAAAGGACACCTGTGATGGTGTTTAGGGCCTGCCTGGATAATCCAGGATGAGCGCCTCATCTCAGGATCTCCAACTTAATCACATCTGCAAAGTCCTTTTTCCAAACAAGGTCTCATTCACAGGTTCCAGGGATTAGGCTGTCGACATATCTTGAGGGGGGCGGGCACTTTCCAATCGACCATACCATCCTCACTTTCCTGGTTGGAATATGCAGTAGAGAGAAAGAAAAAAAAAAGAAAATCAAGTGAAACGCTAACTTTACCACCAAACAGTTCTAGGGAGAGAGAAGCATAAGCAGGAAAAAAGTGCTAATGTTTCCATTTCTGGTGCCGACTGGGGCACAGGAGAGATCCCACTTTCAATCTTCATGTCAACACGTGTTGTTTCTTCCTCGAGAGAAACAAAACTGAATAATCCAGCATCGCCGAGTGGAACAGCTCACAAGTGGAAGAGCCGGGGTTGGCTGCATGCCCCTGGCCCGTGGCAATGGGACGCGCCCACCCAGCCCCTCTCTGGCCTCCCGCCAGCTCTTTTTGGCTCCTTTGGGCCCCAAAGCCCCCAGCCCAGCCATAGCTGGAGTGGAACTGTCAGTGGCCCCATTTAAAACCCATCTGTGAAAGGCTCATAAATCACACCCTCGGAAAACTCACTCCTCATTATAACTCGGCAGAGAACAACTCTGTTCAGAGATTTAAATAAATGTGAGTGTGTAGTAGGTTGGTTGTTTTTTCAGTTGGTTGTTTTTTCTATGTAGGAGGATTTTGCATCATATTCTTTCAGCTGTTCATGTTAATAAGGCCAGGAATAATTACAGGCCTTTCTCCAAATGCAGCAGTCTCTACCGTCAGATTAAGCAAGTGGCCGATGAACACTTTTAGTGTGATTTCAGGGGAGCCAGCAAGGCTTAGAGCCCCAATACCTCTCCCCTCTGACCTTGCAAAACAACTAGGTCAATGTCCCAAATTCTACAATTAGAGCTTCCTTCCTTTGGACCTGCCCATGGTCAAAACACTAATATTGCTGGAAGGGGCCACACTTTTAAGCAGGGTTCACGTATACATTTATCCTAGCATTTTCTCAGAGCAAGGGTTATGGTGGGAATGCAGGATAATCCGTTGGATGGGACAGGGAGACACGATTAAGGGGAAGGTGACTGATCACATGCAGGGTTGAATCCCTGAGAAGGTCCCTTGTGCTTCTCATTTTACAGTTGAACTAAATGTATTAAGTGCCTACCTTGTGTCCAGGGATGCGATCTTCCTTATAGGTGATCTCATTTAATCCTCACATCCACCTGTGGGGTAGGCACCAAAGCTCCTCCATTTATAAGTCAGTTTGTTCCCACCTAAAGTGACACCAGACAAGTTACCAAAGTGTATATGTCTGTGTCAAGTTAAGTTTCACAAAAGAACTGTCTCTAGACCCTGAGAAACTAGTGCTTTGGGGCTGGCTTGCTTCACAACAAGATCTCAGACACGACATATTTCTGGAGATGGAAGAGATCTCCAGAGCGGCCACAAAATAGACAGACAGACATGTAGACAGAGGAAAGCTGAGTCTGAGAGGGGGCAGGGAGGAAAGGAGGGAGGTGGGGTTCTCCAGGTTTCTTTGACCAGAAGCTGAGCAGGAATCACCAAGAACTAGGACAGGAGTGGTCAGGAGCTGGCTGAGAGGCCAGGAGGGAGACAGGGCTGCAGTAACCAGGTATCTGCATGGCGGGAACTGGCCTGAACCTATGGCAACAGGGAGGCGGTAGGGCTGTCCTGAGGTAGAATCCCGTAGGGGGACCGAAATCTGAGATTCTTACTCTAAGAAAATATCTTTGAAGGATTCTGGGGTGAACCGTATGGAAAAGAGGGGGCTTTAGCATCTATGGGTAAAAGGAGATATAGACCCTCTTTGGAGGAAAGGCTTCTCAAGTTAGTTTGCAGGAATCCCACAAATTAAAATCAAGCACAACCTCACGAACAAAAATCAACAAATACTTGGGAAGGCAAGTCACTATGAACAAAAGCCAAAAGAAACAAGAAACAGCAGCTGTAGACCCCCGAGGACTACAGATGTTTCTATTGTTGCAACAGCATGCAGAACTGTGAAGTATAAAACATCTAAAGAATGGATACACTTATAATGTATGAATAAACAACAGGAAAACATTAGGCATCAATTGGTAGAATCAGGGAGAAAAAGAAATCGATCTTTTAAAAATTAATAACAAAACTGTTGGAGAAAAACGCAATGGATATAAATACTGAAGAAGTCACCCTTTTATGTATTATTCACCAGTGGAGGGAGTTCTCATTTAAATTTGCATCTAGTACTTTGTCAGTCACTTTTTTATATTCTTTGCAAAATTCACACAGATTATTGATTTTTTTTTTTTTTTTTTTTGCGGTACGTGGGCCTCTCACTGTTGTGGCCTCTCCCATCGCGGAGTGTAGGCTCAGCGGCCATGGCTCACGGGCCCAGCCGCTCCGCGGCATGTGGGATCCTTCCGGACCAGGGCACGAACCCGTGTCCCCTGCATCGGCAGGTGGACTCCCAACCACTGTGCCACCAGGGAAGCCCTGTGATTATTTTTAATAAAACAAATGTTTCTGTACCAATGGAAAAAAACCCTCAATGGGTAAGTTAAACAGTAGATTACACTGTTAAAGAGAGAATTCATGAACTGGAAAATATATCTGAATAACATATCCAGAATACAGCAGAGAGAAAGAGAGAAAGATATGAAAAAGTATTAAAGATATGGAAAAAGAACAAGAAGATCTAGCAAAGAGCTTGGCAAACTATGGCCTGTGTGTCAAATTCATCCAGCCACCTGTTTTTGTAAATAAAGTTTTATTGGAACCACCACACTCATTTGATTGTGTATTGCCCATGGCTTTTTTTACAATACGATAGAGCTGAGTAGTTGTGACAGAGACCATATGGCCTCCAAAGCCTAAAATATTTACTCACTGGCTTTTTACAGAAAAAAAAAAAATTACCCCTGGTCTAGTACATACATGACTGGGAACCCAGGAGGAAAATTTGGAGAAAAAGAAAGAAAGGTAATATTTTAAAAGAGAATGACTAAATTTTCCAGAACTATTTAAAACACGTAGCCACATCGCCAGAGAGTACAACATATTCCAAGCAGGATAAATAAAAAGAGTTGTGCTTGCATTACAGGTTGAATTTTGTCCCTCAAAGAGATACATCCAAGTCCTAACCCCAGTACCTGTGAATATGACCTTATTTGGAAATAGGGTCTTTGCAAACATAATCAAGTTAAGAATTTTTTCTTAAGGCCATGCCACACAGCATGTGGGATCTTCGTTTCCCGACCAGGGATTGAACCTTCGCTCCCTGCATAGGAAACGTGGAGTCTTAACCACTGAGTGCCAGGGAAGTCCCAAGATAAGAATCTTGAGTGAGATCATCCTGAATTTGAGATGGGCCCTAAATTCAATTGTTAGTGTCTTACAAAGAAAAAGGAGAAAAGAGAGAGAGAGAGAAAGGGGAAAGATATTAGTGATACAGACACAGGGAAGAAGGCCATGTCAAGACAGAGGCAGAGATTGGAGGGATGCAGCCACAAGCCAAGGAATGCCTGGAGCCATCTGAAGCTGGGAGGGGCAAGGAAGGATCCTTCTCTAGAGCCTTTGGAGGGAGTGCAGCCCTGCTGACACCTTTATTTTGGATTCTGTCCTCCAGACCTGTGAGAGAATAAATTTCTGTTGTTTCAAGCCACCAAGTTTGTGGTAATTTGTTACAGCAGTCCCAGGCAAGTGACACAGATTTTGTTTAGTGTGGTAGAATACAGATGATTCTAAATTTTTCTGCATTCTCCATTCTCCATACTAAGAGATGTTATTTATCTCCCCTCCTCTGGAATCTGGGTTGGCCCGTGGTTGTTTTAACCAATAGAATATGGCAGGAGTGATGCTGTGCCAGGTCCAGGCTAAGACTTCGGAAGCCCTGGCAGATTCTGCTTTTATGCTTTTGGGAGCCTTGATCTGCCTCGTGAGATATGCAGCTACCTGCTGTAAAGAGCCCATGGAGAAACCAGAGCAGAGAGAGGGGAGCCCTGGGACTCGATGGAGGAAGAAAGGCCCCACTATCCAGCATTCCAGCCAGCCCAGCTGTCTAGATGTCCCTGCCACCCAACACTCTGGAGCTGGCTTCTGGCTTTGCCTCCCTCCTGTCCCCTTCCAGAGCCTGGTTCTCAGGACGAGAGCCCTTCGTGCCTTCTCAATCCCGAGGCACTCCACCAGACGTAGTCTTGCCCGGGGCTTCTTGTCACAGGTGGATGAGCTATCTTGGATGTCCCAGCCCAGTCGAGCCCCAAGATGACTGCAGCCCCAGGCAGCAGAAGAACCACCCAGCCGATCCCAGTCAACTCACAGAATCACGGGCCAACGAGGCATTGACAAATTTGAGTAAGAGATGTCCTGACAGATATAGGTGTTGCAGGCAAAACCAGGTAAAGATGAATGGTTGGTTCTTAGTTCCTATTCTCAGTAGATGAGCTGATAATAATAAACTATTCAGACATGAATGAGTAGGAAGTTCACAGGCAAAGTTAACTCTTGGGTCTTAGTAGCATATGACTCTAGTTTTGTTAACCATACACAAGGAGTGTATTGTTATTATTATTCACCTCTTTTTTACCTATGTAGATAAAACTACTCATTAAATAAAGCAAAACATCAAATGAATAAATATTGAATTAAAAAATCATTAAAACAAACTCATGTGGTTAAATATGTGCCTCAGGACCAGAAATTTGACCACCAGGTGGAACTGTAGAAGCAAAGTGGCATCTCATTTTGGGTAATCACGCACATCTCATCCCGTAGTCAGAAAGGAAAAAACATCGTACCTGAGACAAACAGACAAAACAGGGTCAGAAAAATGAAGGAAATCTTGAGCCCTTCCTGTAAGTTACTAGCTCCCTAGCAAAAACAACTTTATCCCAGACTTTGGCAATGCTGCTGTTTGGAGATTTACCAGGACCTTTGTGGATATGACAATCGTGATGAATTTGCTGTTTTCTGCCATGCACAGACTTAACTGTAATCTCAGTAACCTTGGTAATTTTGTGGATTTCTTTTTCCTTTAGATACCTTTTTGTATTTTTATTTGATGATCTAGTCCTTCTAGCCCCTGGAGACTCTTTACAGATCTCTTTTTTTTTTTTTTTTTTTTTTTTTTTTTGTTTGCGGGTTTCTCACCGCCGTGGCCTCTCCCGCCGCGGAGCACAGGCTCCGGACGCGCAGGCCCAGCGGCCATGGCTCACGGGCCCAGCCGCTCCGCGGCATGCGGGATCCTCCTGGACCAGGGCACGAACCCGTGTCCCCTGCATCAGAAGGCGGACTCTCAACCACTGCGCCACCAGGGAAGCCCTACAGATCTTTTTAAAGTATGCTTCTTTTCGAAATGCTTTTGTCTCCAAATCTTCCATTTATAGAGGCCCTGAACTCAGAGACAACAGGCAGAGTAGAAGGTGGGAGCAGGACCCTGGATGGAAAGTAGGAGAATTAAGTGAACATCTATATGCTGAGCAGCCAAGTTCTCCCACTCACTTCCCAGAACACTGGAATGAGGTGTTTTTTCCCCAGGAAAGAAATGGGAGGATTTGACCAAAAAGAAACTAAATGGCCCCAGTTAAAACACTTATAGATACTCATAGTTGGGGACCCCAGTGAAAAAAACAGATAGCCTCTCAATCACCCCACAGGGAAGCCCAGATGCCCACATGTCCTTCCAAACTGCTTAGAGCTTCCAATCAGGCCCATTCTCTGACCTGTGGACAGACCGAGATCTTTCCCTTGTCTTTGCTTGTTTGCTTTGCTTTCTGTTCTTGTTCTATGATCTGTTTCATATTAGACACCATCCTCTAACATCATGTTACAGACTTTTCTTCCCTAGCATTCTAACATGACCTGGCCTCTAACATGATAGGTAGAAAACAAACAATTGAAAAAAAAGACATATGTGGGCAGTAGAATCAGAGCAGCAAATAGTATAGCCCCAAATTCCGAGAACTTCAGCAAGTGACCTTATTTGGATATGTAATTAGTTGTTATCTTGAGATAAAATTATCCTGATTCAGAGTGGGCCCTAAATTCAATGACTGGCATGCTTAAAGGAAGAGACAAGGACACAGAGACACACGGGAAGACCATATGACAACAGAGCCAGAGACTGGAGTGATGCAGCCACAAATCCAGGAATGCTTGGGGTCACCAGAAGATAGAAGAGGCGTGGAAGGATCCTTCCCTAGAGCCTTCAGAGAGAGCATGGCCCTGATGACACCTTGATTCCTGACCTCCAGAGCTATGGGAGAATAAGTTTCTG